CTGAGAAACCGCAAAATACTCTTTTTTCCGCACCTCATGAACACTGCGCATGAGCGAATCGGCGTCGTACAATCATTCACATAAACTGATAAAACATTTACCGTATACGGGTATAATCTCACATCGTGATCAACAATTCAATTTCTTTAGCGTTCAGTGAAACCGGAGGATGACTGACGCACATGTCCTTATGAGACATGACGTCCTTACGATGGCCCCGCCGCGGTGGTCTAGTGGCTAAGGTACTCGGCTGCTGACCCGCAGGTCGCAGGTTCGAATCCCGGCAGCGGCGGCTGCATTCCCGATGGAGGCGGAAATGTTGTAGGCCCGTGTGCTCAGATTTGGGTGCACGTTAAAGAACCCCAGGTGGTCGAAATTTCCGGAGCCCTCCACTACGGCGTCTCTCATAATCATATAGTGGTTTTGGGACGTTAAACCCCACATATCAATCAATCAAATGTCCTTGCGATGTGAGGTTATTCTATCTACCGTAAAGGTTTTATCAGTTTACGTGAATGATTGTACGATGCCAAGTTGCTCATACGCAGTGTTCCCGAGCACGGAAAAAAAGAGTATATTATCTATATTATCTGGTTTTCTGTTTGAATAAAAATCTGTTGTTAGTCTGCGCTGCTCGGGTGTGTTCCTTTCTTGTTTGTCCTTGTGCCATTGTGGTGCATTGCTATGGTTTCGCAGTGGTCAAAGTGCGGCATAGGTATTGTAAAGAGTAGGAAAAAGAAGCGCCGCTAATTGACCGGTTACGTCCAGTTACCGGAGATGATAAAAAAAAAAAGCTGCGTGCAAGTATAACGTGCAGCTTTGCATGTCATGGATTATACATGGCATGCAAATCGGCATGTTTATGTCCTGCATTATCCTGATCTGCCAGATGTTAGTGACGATGACTCTGTGTAAGGCTAGAAAAGTTTTGCCTTTATTCAGGAACCTATTTTCATCAGGCAACATGAATGTTTATACACGTTCCAGATGTATTCGTAGTATTTTTTTTCGTACTACAACGCAATTTTCAAGAACAGGAACATTTGTTTGACTTCCGCCTCTTTTGGGCTTATTCGGAAAAGCGCCGCCGCTTTTTGGGGGGCTTGCTTTTGGGGTGACTGTTTGCTTGTTTGCTTGGCGGCTGCTGTCAACTCTGCCGGCAAGCAACAGTGGCTGTGGTGGTGATAAACAGGCATTTGCACAGTTTACAAGAAATATATATGGACGGCCTCAATGGCCGACGCTGTAAGAATTCTAGGAGAGGTGCCGATCGTCCGGGACCCCTGTGATCATGCATGCGATCCAACGTTTATGCCGGCGGCCAGCACCCTGGCCGAGTTCCTGAGCACAAGTGCGCAGTCTCGCTGGCACAAAGTGGATGTCGATTCGATAAATCGCGGCCTTCCTTCAGCCACTATTTGCATCTCCGTATTTTAACAAGTTCACACACACATGCATGAGCGTAGTGAGCGCGACACGTGTGCCTCACATATAGCGCTGCATGCGCTGAAGCGTTGCGGGATACCTCCTGCTCGCACCCGATGCGTTCTTTTTCTCCTCAGTATAACGACCAGGAATTCACGGTGTGGGACTACCTCGAAGTTGAAGGCGAGATTACCCTACGCGAGTTTCTCGAATATTTCCAGGTGGGTGGTGTTCTTTGCGTGCAAACGGATTTGCCCGCTAACGTTCCCGTATATTCGTCTGCGCTATGAGAAATACGTCTGGTTTACGTTGCGCTATGAGGAAGCAGACTACATTTATTTTGGATTGATCGACTACTTACTAACGAGGAAGTTACTCCATCACGTTGCAACTCGTAGGAAGTATAAGGACATGTTATGAAAATTGAGATGTGTGATGCGTTGCTTTCACGAAACGTGAGATTATATAAGAAAGTATTTCAACTGATTTGAGGCGTAATCAAGCCTTAGAGGTGAACTGAATCATTAGAGAAGTGTAACATGTATTATTTTCGCTGTGACGGCGTATCGGAGTACGCTATTCATTTGTTGGCGCCGGCTGAGTGGTCCCTGTGCACCTGGCGACATTCAAGCCTATACTGGTGCGAGACTGTACCAGGGGCGGAAACTCCCTATACCTCCCGTGTATTCACTCACGGCAGTGGCAGCGCCGCGTTTACCCCTGGCGATTGCCGGGAATTCCTACTAGAAAGAAATCACGAACAAAAATTCCTTTCATGACGTCACTGGTGACGTTTTGAAATTGAGGGAAAGGACGAAAAATCAAGAGTAGCTATGTGGGTCGCCGCGGAAGCCCTCCATTCCCACTTCGCATGCAACCGGAATGCACTCGTTGCTTCTTTCAGATCCACTGACCGTTTGGGCGATGCCACCATTCATAAAATTTTGTTTAATCTTTTGTTTTACTGCGATAGCAATTATATAAACACTCTCCGCTGGATTTTGCCGCCTGTGTCAATGTCATGCACCATATATGTTATGTATACGTATCTATATATATGAACGCGCAAGAAGGAAAAAAATCCAGAAAAAAGACAACGGCACGCGGAAACGAACGTGAGACCCCCGCACCGAAAATGGAAGAAGTAACAACTGAGCCACCATGGTTTTTTTTTTCTTAATAAGAGCCACGATGGGGTACCTCCTTGGACGTTCAAACGGCAAGCTAATCATATCAGCCACTTGCCGCTGCTGTGTTTTCGGCATTACCAGAAAGATGGCGTAATGAGCGCACGTCGCCACAAGGAAAACTCATGGAACAGGCACTACCAGCATTGATGTACGCAGATAATATAGTGCTAATGGCCGACAACAAGGAAGATTTGCAGAGATTGATTGACATCTGCGGTAATGAGGGAGATAGGTTAGATTTCAAATTCAGTAAGGCAAAATCAACAGTCATGATTTTTAATGAGAATGAAGGTAGTGAGCTTAGAAAACAAGAGGTCACGCTAGAGATTACAGATAAATACAAATATCTGGGCGTATGGATAAGCGATGGGGCCGAGTACCTAAGGGAACACAAAATATACGTGACTACTAAAGGTAACAGGAATGCAGCGGTAATGAAAAACAGGGCACTGTAAAATTACAATAGGTATGATGTTGTGAGAGGAATATGGAAAGGGGTCATGGTTCCTGGTCTGACGTTCGGCAATGCGGTCTTGTGCATGAGATCAGAAGTTCAAGCAAGATTAGAAATTAAGCAACGTAGAATATGTAGGCTTGCCTTTGGAGCTCACGGGAATACACCAAATCAAGGAGCACAAGGTGATATGGAATGGACATCATTTGAGGGCAGGGAAGCCAGCAGCAAGATAAAATTTAAGAATCGATTGAGAGAAATGGGGGAAGAGCGTTGGGCTAGGAAGGTATTCAGCTACTTGTACATGAAGAATGTCGATACAAAATGGAGGAAGCGAACCAGAAAATTGACTGGTAAATACTTAGAAAACAGCAGGGTGCCGAACCAAAAAGAATTATCGGTAAAGAAGAAGGTGAAGGAAGCTGAGACCGATATGTGGAGAATCGGCATGATTAAGAAGTACGCACTAGAAATCTATCGAACTTCTAAGCAGGAAATTGCTAAGGAAAGGGGTCATGATAATACTTGGGGTAGTTCTCCACTGTTTGAGGCCTAGACGGGGGCATTGCGAACCAAGACGTATCGGGCCAAATACGGAGGGGTAGACACGGTATGCAGTGCGTGTGGAGAAGAAGAGGAAAGTGCCGAACACTTGCTAATGTTCTGTAAAGGGCTTAACCCTATGGTTCAGGATGATGGCGCAGAGTTTTTCAGAGCACTGGTGTTTAGGGACAAGGAGGACAAAATAGACTTTAAGCGGGTAGAATTAACTAGAAGGAGGTTATCTGATTGGTGGCTAAAGTCAAGGCACGATTGAAAATTAAATCCTTCACTGCAGAGTACGAATCCTCCACCTCACTCTTTAAAGGGGAAAAAAATAAATCTAGTTTTTGGTTCATTAAGTATTACGGCTTGGTGGCGCTAGCCACCGCCCGATCCAAATAGTGCAGCCATATCCATCCATCTATTCATCCAGCCACATCGCGCAGCAGCGCCCGCTCTAATCTCCTATGCGTACTTTGCCTGGTGGAGGTACACTCCCTCACGCGCCCTTATCTCGCTGTGGCGAGAAGGGGAGGATCGTACGCCTTGGCTGGCCTCGGGCTTTACGTGGAACGATTCTGCTGTAGTTACCGGGCGCACAAAGCTCACTGCAACCATTGCAGCCTCCGTTCTCGAAAAGCGCACGCTTTTCAGACTCGGCGAAGGAACAAATAAGACGCTTATCGCGTGCATCCGTAACTGTGAGTACGTTTCGTGCGTAATTTGTGCGCGAAAAACGCGGGGCACGTTTCAATCTGCTTTCTATTCTGTGCGTGACCTTTCAAATTATTGCTATCGCGTTCACTGCTTCGCCTTTGCGGCAAAGCAGTGACTGTTTTTGTAATTTTTTTCGTTTTTTTTTTTTTTGAAGAGGAGAAAGTTAAGCTGACCGATTTCTCAGTAAGACGAAACTCTATCGGCGCAAATAAAAGGAACTTTTTTTGCACGTGTGACACGCGCAGTGTAAAAGCGTCATTATATAAAAGCAGCTTTAACTTACAACTGACATACGGAAATATTGAGCAAACGTTGAACCCAGAATATTGGAACCAATGCGAAAATTAACAATCACAAGTAGAATACGTCGTATTTGACTCAATCACGTTTGTTATGACGGCGCACATAGTTTTCTTACAGAACTTGAGTACAAAACGAGACTGAAGTTCATTGGCACGGTGAGGCTTGAAGGGATCAAAAGTTTTTCGAAAAAGAATGTCGCTGGAAACAATGTTTCAGCATTGCTGACTTGTCTTCGTCCGGGCAACAGCATTGCCTTGAAGAAGCAAAGTTTACTTGTCAAAACGCTGGCTCCATCGACATTTCAAGTAATATTTTTTAAAAGCACTTACTCCATCACGTGTACTTGAGTGACACTATTAGAAGTAAAAATTCACAAATTTTTAAACCACGGCTACAATAATTTTATGAGCAAGAAGCAGCCTATATTTACTAGACATCATTTTATGTGCACGTCGGAAGTAAAAGAAACTAAAACTATGTAGCCGAGCCAACTTGTTTTCAAGCATTTCAATAAACGCATTTTCAGGGCAGAAGCTTGGCTGCTATCTGCACCAATTATTCAAGCGACACTGCACTTCTGTCGGTCCAGTCAGGCTTGCAGTCAACTCGGTTCACTAATATCATCATCATCATCATCATCAGCTTGACTACGTCCACTGCAGGACAAAGGCCTCTCTCATGTTCCGCCAGTTAACCCGGTTTTGTGCTTGCTGCTGCCAATTTATACCCGCAAACTTCTTAATCTAATCTGCCCACCTAACCTTCTGTCTCCCCCTAACGCGCTTGCCTTCACTGGGAATTCAGTTAGTTACCCTTAATGACCAGCGGTTATCATGTCTACGCGATACATGCCCGGCCCATATCAATTTCCTCTTCTTGGTTACAATTATGATATCCTTAACCCCGGTTTGTTCCCTGATCCACTCTGCTCTCCTCTTGTCTTTGCAGGTTACACCTACCATTTCCCTTTCTATTGCTCGCTGCGTCGTCCTCAATTTAAGCTGAACCCTCTTTGTGAGTCTCCGGGTTTCCGCTCCATAGCTAAATACCGGCAAGATACAGCTGTTATATACCTTCCTCTTGAGGGATAGCGGCAATCTACCTGTCATAATTACTAATATGTACCCATGCGAAATCAATATCTACTCAAGTTAAATGGGTCTAAATTCTTGTGCTCACCCGTTGCATTTAGGAAACGCTGAAAAACCTTCGCGGAAGTAGAAATTCCCGGGTGAGCACACCGCAGAGCCGCGGAAAAAATGCGTTGCCCGATTAAGCCATCTCGGACGAATGCATAGTTGGCTTGTTTGGCGTAGCTCACAACGGCTTCCGTTTTTTGCCCGCCACAACTTGCAGTCCTGTCTTTATCTTTCCCGCTGACACGCCAACCGAGCGAGATAACTGAGCGCGATCAAACTTCTAATATCGCTGAGCGAGGGGCGAGAAGGAGCGGAGGCGAGCGCTACGAACACAAGTCAATCACTTCCCGCGCTTCACCTGATTTAATACTCACAAATTAAGGAACAAGAGAATACTTTTAAACAAAAGAGAAGTTTCTTGCAGGGGCATTCATTTTTTTTATTTGTGAAATCTTGTGAAAGGCAATAAGTGCGAATGTTCACATCAACCTCCCTCCGTTCAACCGGATCTTAGGATGCCCGGCAACCACGATGAGCGTGCATGTTCCTTGAAACCGAAACTAGTGAGGAGTTTCTGGGGCCGGACTGTGCTTCAAAAGTGCTTTAGTCAACAAACATCTTCAGCTGCAGTTTTACAGCGAAAGCTTTTGTCGGATCCCAACAAGGGTCGAATCTGGCGCCGCAGTAGTCCGCCTCGACTACCGGTGTCCGCAACCACTGTCGCACGAAATAAGCAAAAATAAATAAGTACATAAATAAATAAAAATGAATAAATAAAAACGATTAGGACAGAACCCAGTACGTTGCGAACTGAGGCCTGCGCAGGCCAGGTAAGAAATCACGTTAACATACATAAGTCGTTTTAGAACAGTGTGCTACAGTGTTACAAGTGTGTAGCCATATATCCCTGGATGTTTTTTCGGAGAATGTCGAATAATGGCACTGTGGACGCTTCCCCAATACGCCAAAAAATTTGATGGCTTATGACGCAGGTATCATGCATGTTTACTTGTAGTTGTTCTGCTCTTCCAGCTTTCGCTGTCACTGCGCGTTCTGCGCAGGCTTGGTGGTTTTTCTCATTGATATCCAGTTATAGCAGTCACCGTGAGAGATGCGGCGCGTGACGGAGCAAAATCGCACGGGCAATGTGCATCTCATTCACCGAAACAAACGGCTATTCAGGAGATTTCCACGTTATTTAAGCCATGTAGCACGATAAACACTTATGGGGGTTCTTTTCATCCGGAGTATGAGTGCTAGTAATAAAAGAAAGTCACAGCTTTGCCGCAAAGGCGAAGCAATGAACGCGATAGCAACAAATTGGGAGGTCACGCGCACAACGGCAAGCAGATTGAAGCGTGCCCCACATTTCTCACGCACAAATGACGCACGAAACGTACTCACAGGTACAGATGAATGCGAATAAGCGTCTCAGCTGTTGCTTCGCCCCGTTTAAAAGCGCGCGCTTTTCGCAAACGGAGGATGTGCAATGATTGCAGTGACCTTTGTGCGCCCGGTAACTACAACAAAATACGTACGAGCTTCCTCTGCTGCAAGATAACATAAGGGCACGTGATCGAGCGTACACCCCCTTATTCTCTGCGCGGGCCAAAGTATGCGTGAGAGATAAGAGCCGCCGCGCGCTCACTGCGCCATCTTCCTGATAATGCTGAAAACACGATAACCCCCCTCCCCGAGACGCCTGCCAACATCGGTAAGCGGTAGATATAAATAGCTTGCTGTTTGAACGTCCACGGAGGTACCCCATGGTGGCTCAGTGGTATCGCCTCGCATTCACGTCGCGGAGTTCCCACGTTCAATTCCGCGCGCCGGAGTCTTCTTTTCTAGGGGACCTTCAACACAAAAATTTGGGTCTGTCTGTTTGTACATTTGTCTGTTTGTCCACTCTTAACGGTACCGGGGACTCTAAACGGCACCAGCCGATACCCCAAACGGTCGATCCCATCTGCAGCGCCCACCAATGTTGCTCAAAATTCAGCGTTCGCGTTCGTACTTGTGCGATTGTCGATTAAAAAGCAATAATTACGCATATCTGAGGCACCATAGCAACGCGTATATGATCTGCACGTGCGTCTTTTACCACAAAAGGCATACGTAAGTAATTCTAAGGACCGTAGCGTTTACCACGCTGCGCTGACCATGCAGCGCTTCCACGAAAAGGCGAGTGTTTCTAACGCTTTGCTTAGACGAGATGGTGGGGGCACCTCACGTCGCCTTGCGTTCTACACCTTATCACCTCTGAGACGGGCGTCTCGAACGCGCAACGTTTTCCAAGAAAACGGCCAGATGGAACTCATGTCTCACGTGTTACGTGATTAGATGCGCTCGTTCGGCTCCGCTGCACGCTCGAGGCACTCTAACACAGCGCCTCCAAAATACCATTCACCGATTTTCTGGCGCAGACCATCAAATAAATGTTTTGTGCACTCTCTCCACATGCAAGACTGTCGTCTTTCGACGACATTTTCAGATTAACATGCAGATATCGGGCCAATTTTTTCTGGATTTTTTTTTTCTTTCTTGCGTTTTATTATACACAGATACGTAGACATGTACGGTACATAACATCGACACCGACGGCGAAATCCAGCCGAGAGTGTCTATATAATTGCTATCGCAATAAAACACCTCGACAACATGTTTATGACGTGCTCTTATTTGTGTGCTTCCGACCGGTGCATCACGCATACGATCCCGACTGCGGAGGTTGCATTTTGATGGAGGTAAAATCTCCGAGTCCGTGGATTGTACGTTGTTATAGGGCACGCGTTCAAGAACAAGTCGAAGTTTTCAGAGCCCTCCACTGTACAGGATGACTCATGATCACGCCGTTGTTTCTAAGTGTCATTTTTCAGCACCAGGTGGCGTACGCCTTCACCTGTAGCGCTGCAGTCACAAGTTAAATTTACATAGATTTTCGAACAAACAGAAGTACTACCTAAGGGTTTAAGAGGGGGCTAAAGGAAGCAAGTTACTGTCTCTTGTCCAAGCGTTTCGAGAAAAGTTATTGTTGCTTACAAAGTTCATAACTTTCACTTATTATATTTCTTATTGCCGCAGAACAAGTACAAGGTCAACATCACCGAGCTATCCGAAAGAGGCCGAACACTGTACGCCACTTCTATGCCATCGCTTGCTAGTCGCTTAGAACTATCGTGAGTGCAATGACCTATTTTTTTCACCTTGTAAAACGGACCCGCCTATTGCGAGTGGTATAGCGCTCAGAACCAAGATCTGGATGCACACAAATGAAGTTGCTATATGCGCATCAACAAATTAATATTTGATCAAGGGAGCAGGTTCAAGGTATAGCCATAGGTTGGCGAAAACATAGCTCATTCAGACTAAATTATGAAATATACTTTGCGTTTGAGGCTCACTCGAAATCACACTCACTAAAATTTTCTTCAACTGAACTCACTCGGACTCGTACTCACCAAAATATTATTACTTACACGGATTCACTAACACTTTTAGACTTGCGGCCCAATATCAGTTTGACTGATTCATAGTAAGTTGTTCGCCGACGTATATGTATATCGAAGCTCCATCCGTTTTCCTTTTTTTTTCTTTTTTCACCCTAGATGTTGCGGTTTTAATCAGTGATGTATTCTCAGAAACTCTACTATGACACAAATAAAGCAGATGAGCAAAATAGATACGAAGAACCTATATATCGTTATTTCCCATTAACGTGTTGCTGAGCAAGATGATGTTTCCTAAGGGACTAATCGTAGCGCTGAATCACAACTACGAAGAAAAGAACACACAGAAGACGGGACAGGCGCGAGCCCCTGTTTCATCTTGTTTTATTTATTTATTTTTGGGTGTGCTCTATCGCTACACAGACAGGTTTCAAATAGGGTGTGCTAAGAGAGCATTGGTGTGATACGATCAAGAAGGGGGTACGATACGTTACTTTCGTCCCTTAGCGAGACGATAGCGTATGACGATTGCGCAGTGGCTACTAAGGTTAAAGTGACAGTAAAGAAGAACATTGACTTGGTTTAGATTGGCATACTGCACTCTGAGAACTCTAATGTCACATGTTTCACCATCGTATGTTAGTTATTATCAGAATCACCATCGTATGTTAGTTATTATCAGAAAAAATTAAGGTGGAAGTTTCGTTTTTAAATTTAGCGCCGAATTTTTCGCGCGTGTCGTAGGTAATTTCAAAACTTATATTCGATACTTTAGTGGCATTATATCGACGACATTTTCCAAAACCTTTTTATTCCAAGTCTATGGCACCTACAGATCATAATGTATGCCATTTTTGTCGATTGGAAGCTACTTAAGGCCCAGTTGACACCTTCAAACTTTAGTACGTTTCGGTGTTTGGTGCCACGGGGTCATGACGTGGACGAAAGAAGCAGACTGCAGGTGGAATAATAAACTTTATTTGCGCCTAACTTGTGGCCACGTAAGAAGAAATTCTGCTTACACCAAGACACTGGCACTGATAGCGGCGAGCTGAGCGTCGGTCGTCGATCAACTGACAAGCGGCGAAGCGTGTCAGCATTTATACACTCGCCATCGAACATTCTAGCGTTATCGCTAGCGGCGGCGTAGATTCCAGAAGAATCTGAAATGCTCGCGACGTGGGCGTCGTCTCAACAAAATGATCTACGGCAGCCCTGAAGCTTCTCGAACAGACTAGGCGCGGTTCGCGCTGAGAATTGCGTAACGGGGTGATAAGAAAACTTGAGGAAAGAACGTGGCAATACGCTACTTTTGTCCCTTAGCGAGACAATAGCGTATGACGATTGCGCAGTGGCTACTAAGGTTAAAATGACAGTAAAAAGGAGCATTGACTCGGTTTAGATTGGCATACTGCACTCTGAGAACTCTAATGCCAAATGGTTCACTATCGTATGTTTCACTATCGTATGTCCATTATCCTGTTCAATTCGGATTAAAATTTTAATAAAACATGCATAAAAAAGACAAGGAGTCGCTCCGAATAAATCACCCTCTTCCCATGATCCCTCGCTTTATGCCAGCACATCGAGTTGATATTAAGTTCCTTGTAAAACGGCATTGATAGTACATATGCACAGCGTTCATTTTAGTTGGACGTCGATTATTACACGTGTTGTGTGTTTCGCGCCGCGTTTACTCCATCAAAAACTAGCGTTAGCTGCCAGAGAGAGTGAGTGACTATGTATTTTCAAAGCCATACTAGAGGCAACGCCCACGAACCTCTTCAGTCTGCCTATGTTCGAACTTACGCGCTTTGTAGGGTTCAATCAAAGTATTGTCCAATAAGGCGTGCATAAATTGCAGTGCATATACGCTCTGGTTAACAGTGGCTCGTGCTCATCAGCTCTTGCTGTTTTCGTCTCATCTCCGCAGCATGAGCGAGCTGGTGGAGGTGGTGTCCCAAGAAGAGATCGACCCAGACAAGCGCTTCTTGGTGTTTGACCTCAAGTGTCAAGACGCCAGTGGTCAGGACGTGGAGCTTCCACGAGTACGCTACGACCTGCCGAGATAACCACCACCGCATCCTGCACAATCGGAAAGTACAGGAACGTCTCTGCTTTAGCCTCTGCGAAAAATATGTACATTAGCTTGTTGATCATAACGCAAACAAAAACGTATAGTCCGTGCGCGCAGTTGCATGGGTTCTCGAAAAGTTTCAAGAAATCTGTGGAAGCTTCAGGAATATTGCAGGTTTAATTCAAAGTGATACCTAGGTCATTACGAGGATTCCCCCCAACAACCCTGGACCAAGTTTCCTAATCCCGACAGCTACTTCACTCGCCCGAAAAGCCGATGTTCAAGCTTTTCTTGAAAGGGGGGAAGTGGGGGGGGGGGGGAGCGGCAATCAGGCTGCTGTGCTGTTTTCAGGCTTTTCCTCTCGGAGCGTATAGTTTTTAGGTCTCACGTTACTATATTACGGTTTACAGAGCAACCAGCCTTCATTTTCTGCATTACTTGACGTAGTTCAGCACTGTCGACAAGCTGAGGCAACATCTGCGAACAGAGAAAACCTGTTGCACCTTGACTGTGAGCTAATTGCTTACAAACATGCATCAATTTTTAAAACGTGACTGTGAATGTGAATGAAAATACCTTGAAGACATTGGTGAAGAAAATGTGTTACGATTTAGCAAAACAGCAACTACCCTAAAAGGTGGCCGACAAAGAAAATACGGCGTTTTCACTAACTCCACCGTTTGCTAAACCATGCGGCTTGGTGTGACACACACGAGGGTGTGGCAGCTGGTCTGTGCTAAGGGTGTAAAGACAATATTTTTGTACCTGTCGGAGCAGTTTACGTGCTAAGGTGTTTCGCTGCTAAGAACGAGGATGCAGGCTCGACTGCCGGTCACTGTAGCCGCGTTGCCATTGCAGCGAAAAGTGAAAACACCCATTCACTTAAATTCACGTCCACGTTAGAGATCCCCATGTGGTCATAATTATTCCTGAGAGGGTACGACGGTGTCGTTGGTAAAAAAATGGCTTTATTCGTAAAAGCTGATAATTTACTTGAACATTCCTAATGGTCCCCTTTCTTTTCAGAAACAAAGACGGCTGGCATGCTCTCAGCCCACCACCATGCAGAAGGAGTCGCTGACTGCATGGCACCACACAGCGACATGGTCGTGATTCGACGCGCTTCACGTCTCAATTACGGACATACTACTCAAATAAATGGATGTGACTTTAAAGAAATCTTAGTAATTATGCATGATCACTATTGCATCAGTGATGCTGGTCATTTGCATTTTTTGTCGTTTTTAGTGTTTTCCTGAATCCCAAAAGCTGTGTCTTGTATTCATCATTATCCTCATCATCACTTGACTACGCCCACTGCAGGACAAAGGCCTCTCCTATGTTCCGCCAGTGAACTCAGTCATGCGCTTGCTGTTGCTACTTTATACCCGCAAACTTCCTAATCTCGTCTCCCCACTTAACTTTCCTTCTCCCTTTCGTGCGTTTGCCTTCTCTGGTAATCCAGACAGTTACCCTTAACGACCAGCGGTTATCCTGCCTGCGCTGTCGTTCGTCTGTAATGGCATTGTTCGAAATTTCAATTATTGGAAACCCCCTCCCCGAGGTCGCTGCGTCTAGTTTCCCCGTCGCGGGCTAGAGGACCTGCTCCTGGTGACGTCGGCAAAACTGCGATAATTAGTTGAATTACCCCGCGCAGGAAAGAGAAAACGTGATCCGGGCGTCACTGTATTTTGCAGCGGTGTGTCCACAGGAGCGTCGCTGTACTACATGTGTCGACGGTCATACGTATACCGTAATCAGGGTAGCGAGAAAATCTCGAGTACTGAGCGTCGAGATTACGGCAAACTCTGTAGACGTGCCCTGCATCGCCACAATGAAAGCGTACCGATCGATGGTGAGCGCTGAACCACGTTGTGAGGTTCACATGTTGACCATACGGCATTCGTCTTGCCGGCAAGATCGGCGAGGTTGGGAAAGTCGCTGGCGCCGAGAGCGGCGACTGTGTTTTCAGGGTTGGTGTTGGCATAAGTAAGATGTCGTGGCACATCACCGGATGGAGAGAGAGCCTAACGAACTTCATCCCGTACAACATCGGCAACAAAAGAAAATTCCGGCATCGGTTTGGTATACTGGAATTAATTCGAGCTGCTGAAACTCCTCTCGCAGAATCTCCCGGATGACTTTCCGCAGAGGCCTGTCGTTATCTCAGAGGCACACCGCAGTCGTAACGAGACTCAGTGACTCGCTACAAAGTTGACCGGTATGCTGGCTGTACCGTTACTTTAGGACCCGATCAATCACTGTGGCTTCTTTAGTGAACTGAGCTACTGTGGTTGGTGGACTTCTCACAAGCCCAAAAAACAGCTGCTCCTTCACTCCTCACGTTAGATACCATAACTTCCTGTCTTCGGGCATCTTTAGATCTTCCCTGCGAAAAAAAAAAAAACGGGTCATGTCTTCTGCGAACATAACAACGCTCTCGTTTCGTTTCTTTTTAATTCGAGTTTCCAAAAGACGTTGCGCATTCTCCTTTCTGTCGACACTATAGTAAAGGTGTCAAGCAGCTCAGAGAACGCTAACCAGCTGGTCGCGGAAGTCGCCCCACGTAGTCAAGCTTTTTTTCCCGGTTCGCACAGCATTCGAACTGGTCCAGTCAGTATTGGGCGTCTTCATAGGTCTCACCATGAAAACAATCAGGAATCGTAGGAGGCTGAAATGTCATGTGCGATGTAGCTGCATTGGTCATGGTGGCTTAAGGAGACAAGTGATTTCTGGCACTTTCTAGCAGGAAATTGAGCTCGCGCGCCAGTCCTAGCAGACGGCGACTGAAACGCGTTCTGTCAACAGCATCGTAGTTAAAGAGCGCTTGTAACTGCAGCTAGGATGATAAAGCACAGCAGTGTTTCTGCGGCTGCTGCACTGTGGACATTGATTACTTGCGATAGCAGTCATATAGCGTCAAACAAAAAGGCATTGCGAGACCCTTGTGCATTTGTGAATGAATTTTGGCCCTGGCCACAAGGTCTAGTGTCTTTTTGCACGCTGTGTGAAAAAAAAATTACATAATTTCCCGCTAAAGGGAACCATGCGTAGATGCGAAGCAGGGAGCGCTAACGCTTACACTAGCGGTAGCGTTGCCGCTGGTGCTCATCGCGACGTCACTCGGGAGAGAAATCGCGGGGTGGTGCAAAGCACGTCATGATGGATCAGTTTTTCTTTCTGAAACATGTCAATCGCTGCTAAGGTCAATGAGAGACAGAAGACTGATTCGACGCAGAGACCCTCAGTCCGCTTTTAACGCGCATGCTGCGAATTCTTGTTGTTCAAACAAAATCATAGCTTTGCCGTAAAGGCGAAGCAATGAACGCAATAGCAACAAATTGAAAGGTCACGCGCAGAATGCAAAGCATATCGAAACGTGCCCCGCGTTTCTCACGCACAAATTACGTGCGAAACAGTCTCACAGGTGCGGATGCACGCGAATAGGCGTCTCATTTGTTACTTCGCTGTGCGCGTCTGAAACCGCTGGAATGATTGCGGTGCGAATGCTTTTCACTACCCTTCTCTTACCTCTTCTCTTCTGTCTTTTTAATTCCCATTCCCCCTTCTCTGCGCATAACTGTGGAGGTGCCCTCGATTGAGAGAGGCAGTAACGGGACTGCGCTTTTTTCTTTCTTTTCCTCTTTCAAAACCACTTCTCGCTGTTTCTGAAAAGCGCGCGCTCTTCTGAAGCCAATTTGGAATGGATTCAGGATTTCTCTCTCATTGATGAAATTTGTTATTCGAACGTTTAGGATTCTCTCAATTACTTTTACAATGTTTGACGTTAACGCAATGGGCCTAATGTTATCTAAAACGTATCCTTTACCCGAAACTTTCAGTAATGGTATTACCTTTGATATTTTCCTCTCCAATGGGAGCCATGACATTCTTAAAGAATAGTTTATTATATCCAATAGGTACTCTTGGCACTCTTTATGCATAATTTTCAACATGACCGACGTAACTTCATCAGGGCCCGGAGCCGCTAGTGGCAAGTTAGCTAACACCTACGACAATTCATACCTGGAAAGTTCCGTGAAGTCCTCGTTCCTTACTGCATGGGAAGAAGGTGCTGATATTTGGCAAGAAAAACGTTGCTCCAATTCTTTACCAATTACTTCCAACGAAGGTTTTATTTCTTCGGCCGACAAAATGATAGAGTCTGCATTTATTGGCTGCGTAATCCTTTTTTTTACGTAGGAATCTATCTAACGCCTTTTAATTGTAGGATTTTGAAAGACAATCGAACTTTTGCCTATATAGTAATCTTCTTTTGACTTGGCAACTGTACGTTAAAAAACACCTGCAACAAACTGGTAGTCCTTCCAATTTTGAGGTCACTGATTGTACAAAAGCTTTTTCCATGCCATCTTCCTGCGGCTATAGTCTCTCGAGCGATCGTCATTCCACCAAGGAGAATTCGAATTATAGTTAACTGGTGACACCACGAATTGAGATTTCTCACGGCAATTCTTTAACAAAGAATATAAGCTCCGAGCCTTCGTCATTGTGCTAACATCTGACAGAGAAGACAGCGAAGAAAGGAAGGAATCCTTAAATTTTGAGTAGTTTATATTCGTACGAGTAACAGAGATTGATGAGGGTATCTGAATTTCTATTTCGAGAGTTATCGGTAAGTGGTCGCTATTTGTTGCGCAATCAACGACTGACCAAGATGAAACATTAAGGTTGGAGCTTGTAAAAGCTAAATCTAGCGCTGAAGAAATATGACTGCATACATATGTTGGGCTTCCCGAATTCTGACATGAAAAATGATTATCTTGGGCTGAATCCCACAACCGGCAGCAACACGGATCAGCTTTTACTCCCCATGTATTATGACCGAAGTTGAAGTCACCTGCTAGTAAAATATTTCCTCCACACGTGGTTGTTTAAGTATCTAATGGCCGAGTGCCATGTACGCCTGAAGGAAAGTATGCATTTACTACTGACAAAACCTGCCCGGCCGCAGTCGGGAGAGTTAAGCCTACA